GCAGAACTAAGTTATATGGAAAACCCTCTCCTTACAAAACACCTAGAAACTCTTCATATAACAACCTTCCTATCATTGCTGTACACCTGTGAAAATAAGGAATATCTCCAGGCACAAAAATGAAGAATCTAGATATTGGAATGTTAAGTTAGCAGTGAAGCTATAGCTACCCTACAGGTATTTGTTGATACTGGATTTTAAAGGCTAAAGAGGGAAGAGGAGACAAAGCTATCAGTCTACTCAAGATGGAGTGTTGGAACTTACAGCCATGCACTAAATTCCCTAGTGGTGTCTCCTGGGATCACCTACCAAATAAACTACTTGCTCCTGAATCCTTGTCCCAAGGTCTGCTTCTGGGAGAACCCACTCTAGAACAATTGGTACCAGAAGGGAGTCTAAGAAATAGACACTCAGAATTAGATTCTGGAATTGGAAGGCTCAACAGCTAGATGGCAACAAAGATCCAGTTGGTGACAGTAACTGGAGTAGGTATTATGGTGGATTAAAGATAGCTGCAAATTATTTGACACTCTTCCCTTCAAGAAGTGGGGTCTGTGCCCCTCCTGAATCTGAGTAGGCTCTGTAACTGTTTTGACCAGACATGACTCAGCCAGCTTCTGGCCCCAGACTTTGAAAGGTTGGCCACTTCCCCACTTCCTACCCCCGGAACACCCTCTGGCGGCCTTGAGCCACCACGTATGAAGACTTACTACTGAGACTATATATTGGGAAAGCCACGGGTAGGTGCTCTAGCTGACAGTCCCACGTGAGCCCAGCCTTCCAGCCATCCCTGCTAAGATGGCACATATGTGTGAACCTGACTTGGCCCCTTCAGACCAGACCATATGCAAACTGAATTACCTCAGTCAATGCCATATGGAGCAAAGGAATCACCTGGCCCAAATTCCTAACCCACAAAATCATGAGAGGTAATAAAACAGCTATTGTTTTGAGCAGTTAAGTTGTGGGGAAATTTGTTATGCAGCAACAGCTAGCTGAAACTTGTGATAACACTTGGCATGCTGAATCTCATAATTACTAAGACTCATCTCTTCTGCCCTGGGATGGGGCACATTGGGGAAGGGGGTACACTGGCTTAGGCAATGTCTCTAACATTTGAGATACATGGGGCAATGGTAATTTATATGGAAAGTGAACTTGATTATTATCAAGTGATGTGCTGAGGAATGTGCTGATTATCAAGTGATGTGCTGAGGAAGAAAATAACAGGCTCAGGACAGACATTTGTCAATCCATGGCCCAGTGTGAAAGCCAGGAGGTTTCAATATCAGTGTTCAAAGACGCTTGTCTACTGCAGCCTGTACTGGTGAAGGCCCAGAACCTGCCTGAGAAGAGTGGAGTTCTGAAGCAGGCCAAAAAGATGACTCTGCTAAAGCCTGTGCTCCAGTCGTGGTCACAGAGGGAAGGAGTGGGACACTGAAACCTAGCACGGGGACATCTGGTAGATGGGCTTAAGGATCTTGAACCCCAAATTCCCATTAACCCCCTGAACCAGTAGAAGTGGCCCATTCCCTCTTGCTTAAGAATAGCAGCCTCTTACCTGGAGACCACGCCAAGTCCCCCCTGTGATGGTTAATTCTTTTTTTTTTTTTTTCCCGTGAGGCTTTCAGGACCTCAGTTCCCTGATCTGGGACCAAACCTGGACCCCAGCAATGAAAGCCCAGAATCCCAACCACTAGGCCAGCAGGGAGCTCCCTGTGATCTTAATTCTGTCTGTCAACTTGACAGGGATAAGGGAGCCCAGATAACTGGTAAACAAATTCTTTCTGGGTGTGTATGTGAGGGTGTGTCCAGTAGAGATCAGCATTTGAATTGGTAGCCTGGATAAGACATGGCCCTCACCAGTGTGGGTGGGCATCACCTAGTCTGTTGGGGGCCCAAACAGAACAAAAAGGCAAAGGAAGGGTAAATTGGCTCCCTTTGCTTGAGCTGGGACATCCATCTTCTGCCCGCAGATGTCCGCGCTTCTGGTTCTCAGACCTCCACACACAGACTTAACCAAACCACCGGCTTTCCTGGTTCTCCAGCTTGCAGACAGCCAATCATGGAGCTTCTTGGCCTCCATAATCACATGAGCCAATTTTTATAATAAATCTCTTCTTTCTATCTATCTATCTATCTATCATCTATCTATCTATCTATCTATCTATCTATCTATCTATCTATCTATCTCTATATCCTACTGGTTCTGTTTCTCTGGAGAACCCTGACTAATACACCCCCTAAGGTAGAAGCCTTGAAGTAATGCTTTCCCTCCTTAAGATCTGCTCCCTTAAATTCCCTCTTTGCTTCTGGACCAATAATTATGATCGAGTCTCCCCACAGCCCAACTGGGGAAGTCCTGTCCCTGCCATGAGAGAATTGAGATGATTCCCCACACTGGCTGCAGAAACTGGCCGAGATGTGCCAGGAGAACAAGACCATGTCCAAGGTGGGTCTTGAGGGCTCTGGTGGGAAGAGAGCAGAATATTAGTTTGGGTGAGGGAGAGTTTACAGACATGGAGCCACTCCCCCGAGGTTCAGGATGTGATCTGGCAAGACCCCTGGAGCCAGTCCTGATATGCCACTGAGATGGCTCCTTGAAGTGTGGAAGAAATGGTGGCCCCACTAAATAAGAGGGAGGTAACAGGATGATCTTGGCAGGGTATTGAGAAGGGACCAAAAGGCTCAGAGGTGGATGTAAGACCAGAGACCCCAGCTGGCTGCATGCTCAGAGGGCGCACAGGAGCTGCCTTCACTCAAGCACAAGGGATGCACGAGTGAGGAGCACTGATGCCACAGGGGGCTTGGGGGGCTGCCTCTGAGGCCAGAGGGGTGGACAGTACCTTGGAGCTGGGCTCCCAGAGGTCAGTGGGGATGGCAGGATTCCAGAGAGCAGAGGTCGGGTTGATGTAATTACCAGAACAGGAGCAAGGCCAAGCGGCGGCCAGGGAGCGTGGACCTGCAGGGTTCTGTGCTGATGGCTCGCAGACCACAGTATTCCCAGGGACTATGACAACCACGATATTTCTTGACTTTTATCATCAAAGAAAGATGGAAAACAAGTAAACAGGAGGCGTATGCCAACTGCTAATGGAAAAATCTCAACCCTTCATCCAGTTTCCAGGCCCAAGTCAGTCCTCAGACCCAGAGGTCACTGATTGAAAGGGAGGCTGGGTTCCCCTGAGAAGAATGCTATAATGCCAGAGCAAACATTTGTAGTAGCAATTCCACCAGGCCTTCCCCAAAGGGACCCACAGCCACTGCCAAGAAGTAACCGTACACTGGGACAAGGGGAATACTGGAAGTTTCAAGGGGAGTTGGATACATGGTCTGAGTGGGCCTTTGGTCATCAGATAAATAGAGTCCTTGGGCTTCTCTCCTCTGGCTACATTCACTCCCTGGGTGATGGCACCCTCTCTCATAGCTTTCAATAACATCTGTACGTCACCAGCTCCCACATGTATTTCCCAAGTCGGACCTCTTCTGTGATCTTCAGTTTCATCCCTCCGCCCACCTGACCTCTCCCCTGGGATGTCTAATGGGCATCTCAGCGTGGTCCGCAGCAAAGTCCAGATCTGCCCACCCTTTCCTGCTCCAAGCCCACCTCTCCTACAGTCTCTTCCCATCTCAGTAAATGACAACACCATTCTTCTAGCTGCTCAGACACTGAAACCTGGCAGTAGTCCTGGATCTCTCTTTTTTCTCACACTGCGTACCCGATGGGTCATCAAATCCCATTGGAATTATTCAGAACATACCCAGAATCCAACTACCTCTCACCACCCCCACTACTACTTACTCGGTGACCAAGCCATCATCTTTCCCCCAGATTATTGTGATGGTGTCCTAAACAACCCCACTGCTGCCCTTGCCCCCCACAGTCTAACTGTAATACAGTGACTCCTCTCTGCTCAAAATCCCACAGTGGCCCCCATCACACTCAGAGTAACAGTTAAAGTGCTTCCAGTGGCCTACCTGATCCTACCTGACCCACCAAGCCCCCTGCCCCCTGACCGATTCTTCCTCTGGCTCACTGTGCTCTCCGCTATTTCTCTACCGCACCAGGTCGGCTCCAGCCTCAGGGCCCCTCGCCAGTTCCCTCTGCCCAGAATCTCTTCACCTGAACGCCCTGCTCCCCCACCTCCTTCAGTACTTTGTTCAAATGTCACTTCAGTGAGGGCTTCGTCTTATTTAAAATGACAACACCTTCTCTCACCACACTCCCCGCACTTTGCACTGATGCGTGTGCTTCATATGTTGCTTCTTAGATGTTTACTGGTTTCTTTTTTATTATTATTATTTTTCAAATTATTTGTGGTTTTTTTTGGTGCACCGGGTCTTCATTGCGGCATGCGGGATCTTTAGTTGTGACATGCATGCGGGATCTAGTTCCCCGACCAGGGATTGAACCTGGGCCTGCTGCATTGGGGGCGCAGAGTTTTACTCACTGAACCACCAGAGAAGTCCTTGTGGTCATAGTTTCTTTCCCTCATTAGAAAATAAACTCTGGGAAGGCTCTCTTTTATTTCACCCCTGCATCTCTAGCGCTGAGGACAGTGCCAGGAGTATTCACTGCTATTTGTGGAATGGATTAATGAATGAACGGAAAGTAGAGGTCGCACCCGTGAGCGGCCCAGCTCTACGGAATTTTCCCACACATTCACGCGCAGACTTTAATCCGAGCAAATGAAGGCGGAGCCCTGGGAGGACGGCGGGAGGGAGCGGGTGGGGGGGTCGGGGAGTAGGGGCCGGGATAGGCGGGCCT